AATCTCAGTGCGAAATTAAATATCAGGAGGAACAAAGAAAGTGAATGGGCAAGAAATGGCAAATGAAGGGCAAAAATTATTATAATTAGGCTTTGGACGAGTTTCCAAAGAAAGTGAACCTCAACAACAGCTCCATCAAAAATTTACTCATTTTCAGCAATAGACATACGCATCGCCTTAGCCGGCCTAACAATGGATAAACAAATAAACGAAAAACTTGCCAGATAGGTCGGGTAATTTGCAAAGAAATTATAATTGAAAGAAAAATTTGAGAAATATCAAAAGGCCAAGTTTCCCTACACCGCTCAAATAAACCAGATGCCAGGAACCGTGCAAATCGGAATTAACACCAAGTCAAAGCCAATGATGACACTGCCACAGAATAAAAGCAGAAAGCAGGTATCCTATAACACGAGAGGTGAAAACAACCAGCAAACATGTCTACACCAAATTGTGAACCTCCCAAACAATGAACAAGGTGATATTTAAACAGATGACTTCTCATATGCAGCCAGAACCAGTGGGTAGTTCAATATGTTTTAAAAATCAAATATTAAGGGAGTCATGCCAAGGTTATTAGCATTTCCTAAACATACTAAGAGAAACTTTGTTTGACTGATTTATAACAAACTAGCTATACAAATTCTGAACAAATGCTGCTTAGCGAAATACCTAACACGAGTCAATCAATCAATATGTAATTCAGCTTGAGTGCTCCAAGGATTGTTAAACACTATTAAAACAAATTAAATGTGTATAATAATATTATTGTTCAATTACGTGTGGTCCTCATCTTCATTCTTCGACTCGTAACATCTTATGTTGGCAGCCTCCAAAAGCAAATTCACCTCTATCCTGTTCGACGCCTGTCATGTTTTGGCTCCCACACGAGAAGGTCGAGGGTTGAAGTAAATGATTTCTGCTCAACCAATTTGTCAGGAGGTTGAAATTCCTTTTTTGATCTCCATGTCAGGAGGAGAATGGAGTCATTTCTTGCGTTGTATTGCAATTTAAACCTCATTATGAGCCAAAGCTCTTCCAAAACAAGCTTTTCTGAGGTGCCACACCTTCTTCTGCGTCGTAGTTGCTCCGAGGAGCCACTTAAACAGACCGCTTCACCGTGATATTCGATTTCCAGTGATACATAAAATGTTTCTTGACTCATTTTCACTGCTAGAGCAACTTGATATTCATCGCGAATGATATTTCAGTACCTGAAACGTATGCTACAGCTATACACTCCAGGATATGCTAGGGCACCGGAGTATAGTATGTATTCCATAACTCCTCTAAGACCCAATTTTATGAAGCAATGTACCGATTTGTTGCTTCTGCTCACCTACCGGATATTCATTCAGGTTGCGTACGTCACAAAACCTCATTTTAAAGTAGATATGCGCTTATTAATGTACTCTGGCATAAGTCTGTAATTTTGAAGTTCATTCCGTAGCATACGAACATATGAACACCAGCTCCTGGGCATCGTTCGTGATTGCATGAGGCAATTGTAGCAAGCAAGATTGTGCCTGATGCATCCAACACTGCAGATGCTCAAAGACATGCAGCAAGCCGTAGCATGCCAAAATGGCTTCTCCTGTTCACTGCGGGTAATCGTTGGTTCGATACTCAGTGAAATCTTGTCTTGGATGAGTTTCACGCAATTTTGACATACTCCGGAGAACGAACATGCATTGATGCTGTACCAAATATGAAACATCGTTTGTGATAGGCGTGAGGTAACTCTAGAGGACACAACAATACGTGTCTTACAATGCAAGTGCCCACATGCCAACTCCATGACCTTTCTAAGTAGCGTTTTTAAACTAGGAACAAATGGGCGGTGCAATGCGCCATGGAATACTCTCCTCTTGAAGAGTCAGGCAAATTGTTTTGTCCACTATGTGAATTGTGTGTTATCGCACGCATTTATAAAAATAAGAGTTGCATGGTCGTTTGACACATGCAAATTGCAAATGTGTATTCGTTTATTTAAAAATTGCTCAATCCAGAAATTTATGACAGGATCATGAAATTGCTGTACCAAGGATTGCAGTCAAAAATGGTGAAAAAACTTAAACAGTACTCAAAGCTGCTCCGCTTTGAGATCCACTCTTTATTGGAAAGATCGCGTGCCTGTCGTCAGCAGATACGATAAAATAGATGGAACATAAACATGAACTTTATTGCATAATAATGAAGCACAGCACCGATATAAATAGGCCTTTACCGATAGCTGTCACTAAAAAACTAACTATAAAAATTATCTTCTAATATCTTCTGAATAAATATGTTGAGCAACACGTGATCACGTGTTCTTTAATTTCTCTAGTGTTTGTTTGTTCGTTTAAAATTTTAGTCCGTTCTAAGAACGGTCAAGTCTGAGTTGCATGCGGGGTGCCATGAAATCACGCAGTGAAAGATGATATCAGTAGTTAAATTTGAAGAATACCACGGTACAATCAACCCCAGCATTGTGTATTTACTAGCAAAGTGCTGTTTTCGATACCGCCGGTATGAACATTAATCTCCAGTCGCTTCTTTAAATTTACACAGCGTAGTGGCACCGTTTCCATGCTTGTGGCCGCCTGAAGGGCCGTTAAGCAGCGTACAGCTTCATCGTATTTTAATATCGCCAGCATTGCATGGGTGCAAAACAGGATTACTTCGTACGATTGATTAAATGTATTATATGAAACAAATTTTATGTATATTGACTCAAACATTTTACCCGAGCCAACCAGCAGATATCTGCTAAAATTTGTTATATTATTAAGTTTTGCATTCTTAGGGATGTATTCAAAACAACAGCTTTTTCAGCAGCTTTTCCGTTAGCTTCTGGCGAGATAAGCTCTTGCTAATGTACGCACTCTACAGCGAAAACTGGTGCCATTCACACAGTCTTTAACCAATATAATTGCTTTAGACTTTTATGGCCAGATTTTGAATTTTCTTATTTTTTCCTCCCAAGGTTTCGTTATAATTTCGTCCACGTGGAAAGGCAGCATCAATAATTTCAGCTATCATGTTCTTGCGATTAACAAGTCCAAATGGTTATGATAAACAACATTATGTTTCACTATATGGTCGTCAAAATACACTGTCTATTGGCCTCCTCAAACACACTCACAGAAAGTATCAGAAATATAGCGTCTTTTCTTAAATTGAACTTTTCAAAGGAAAATTAAAAACTTTAAATCATTGGAAATGCCAGGCGATGTTTTGTGACGAAAATTAAAGCAAACCGAAATTTCGCTTTTAATATGAACCCAGCAGCAACAGATCAAACTACAGGTCACAACTGGTTTTGTCTGGAACTTATTTCAACGTTAGTTTGACTCCTAAATGCGCCCAATAGGTCATAACTGGTATACCATAAATCCTTCTTCGCTGTGTATGACTAGAGGGAAAATCTGTGGACCTTAATATTAGTCTAAATGCTATGCCACCTTTACTGGCACTTTATTCGGCTAACATGTTTGGAT